TATTTATAACTTATTACTATTAATAACTGTTAATTAGGGTAGCCCCGCCCCCTCCTACACCTGGTATAAAGATACCGAAGAGTTGACTGGGTCTGATGCTATGGGGCGTGTCTTTAGAATAGAGATTGCTAATCCAACAGATAATCATGATGGGGCCTACGAGTGTTCAGTTTCTAATGAGTTCGGAACTAATTTTGCTTTATCTAGACTGAGCTTCATTAGTAAGAATCATTATTATTATTATTATTATTATTATTATTATTATTATTACCGTATAGCACTTTATTTTGGTGATTTTGCTGTAAAATTGTAATTGGTGGTTTTTAATTTGGCGATTTTGTGTACACTTGCATTACTGAGCATGTGCATTAATGATTGGTGCTTTTAATATTGGTGATTCACCTTGCAAACCACCAATTGCCAAAATAAAACTCCATTAAATTAAAGTGCTATGCGATATTATTATTATTATTATTATTATTATTATTATTATTACTAGGTCCTCCTAATGTTCCCGATTCCAGCACTAACGTTGGCGAGATTCTAGATGATGGGAGCGTGGTGAGTGTCAATCAAATGACTAATGTTACAGTTCAGGCTGGAACTGATTTCTGCGTCATGTGTGAGCCTAGCCTTGGCTCACCTCCAGCAGAGGAGATAGTATGGAGGCGTAACTCACTAGAAGGAACAGAACATGAAGGAATTGATATTAGTGATGTGTGTATCACTATTCAGGACAATGGGACCAGACTCTGCTTCACTGATGTGTCAAGAGCTTACAGTGACGTCTATTCTTGTTTTGTTGCTAATGAAGCTGGATCTGATAGTGGGAATATTACCATTCAAGTATCAGGTGAATAATGTTGATACTGTTATTATTATTATTATTATTATTATTATTATTATCATTAACAATTGTTATATTTCATCACTAAACTTTGTCCTAATTTCTCTCTCTCCTTCTCTCTCTCTCTCTCCCCCTCTCTCTCTCCTTTTCTTTTTCTATTCTAACTTATTGTATCATTATTATTATTGCTGTTTTTGATATTATTATTATTATTATTATTATTATTATTATTATTATTATTATTATTATTTTCCTAGTTCCTACTGTTATCAGACAGTCTTCAAGACAAGATATACCAGATTCGTCTTCTTGTTTGGATCAAAGAGGTCAATCATTTGTCAATGAGGAGGTTGGAGTCAATGTCTGCATGTCCTTTGGCACTCGAGTCCTGATTGATTGTGTAGT